GATGTTAAAACTACATTTTTTCATGGAGATTTGGAAGAAGAAATTTACATGGAACAGCTAGAAGGATTCGAAGTCAAGGGGAAAGAACACATGATGTGTAAATTGAATAAGAGTTTGTATAGATTAAAGTAGGCACCAAGGTATTGGTACAATAAGTTTGACTCATTCATGAAAAGTTGGCATATAAGAGAACTTTTTTCAGATCCATATGTATACTTCAAAAGATTCTCTAACAACAACTTGATTATTTTATTATTGTATGTGGATGACATATTGATTGTAAGACGTGACAAGGAGTAGATAACCAAACTGAAGAAAGACCTATCTAAGACTTTTGATATAAAATACTTGGGTCTTGTACAACAAAATTTGGGAATGAAGATTGTTTGGCACAAGAAGGAAAGAAAGTTATGGTTATTTTAAGAAAATTATATTGAGCGTGTTCTAGAGTACTTCTATATGGAAAATGCTAAACTAGTTAGCACCCATCTTGCTGGTCACCTAAAGTTAAGCAATAAAATGTGTTTTATAACAATAGAAGATAAAGAGAAGATGGCTAAAGTCTCCTTTTTCTCTGCAGTTGGGAGCTTGATGTATGCCATGGTTTGCACATGGCCAGATATTGCTTATGCTGTTAGAGTAGTAAATCATTTTCTTGATAACCCGGTAAAAGAACATTGGAAAACTGTAAAATAGATACTCAGATATGTGAAGGGTAGTCAAAGGCGTGCTTTGGAGGGTCAAACGCAGTTTTAGAAGGTTTCACAGACGTTGATATGGCAAATGATTCTCATTACAAAAAATCCACTTTTGGATTTGTGTTTACCTTTTCAAGGAAAACTATATCATGACAGTTAAAGTTGCCAAAGTGCGTTGCATTATCAACAACTGAAGTCAAGTACATTGCTGCTACAAAAGCAAGAAATGAAATGATTTAGTTCAAGAGATTTCTTCAGGAGATTTGTCTACACCAAAAAGAGTATGCAATCTGTGGTGATAGCCAAAGTACAATAAATTTGAGCAAAAACTCTATGTATCACTTTCAAACAAAGCATATTAATGTGCGGTACCATTGGATAAGAGAGTAAGTGGAAGATAAGTCCCTTTTGCTAAAAAAGATCTCCACTGATAAAAACATTTTGGATATGATGATTAAAGTGATTTCTTGTAACAAGTTTGAAAAGTGTAAAGAACTTGTCAGCATGAGCTCTACTTAGAAGAATGTTAGTAATCTCCTCATAGAAGCATAGGTCTGGAAGGGGAGATTTGTGGGTTCAGCCCCATAATTTAATCAAAAAAGGGGGAAAGGTGTTGCGGTTGCATTGATTGCAGCCACAACTGTCTTTTTGACATTTGAAAAAGGGCACTGAAAATGCACCGAAAGTAAGCTTCCATCTTTGACAAATTGAAGTGCCAGAGCTAGAGCCAGCTCATGGAGAAAAAAATTTGGCCTTCCTCACCTATAAATAGAGGAAGGCCTGGCGTCCTCTAAGCACATAAACAAGAGAGAGACAAAGAAGGTTAGAAAGAGAGTCTCTCAAGCTTGAGAGAGAGAAAGAGAGAAGAAAAAATTCACTTGTATAGAGAGTGAGTTTATTATAGTGAGGATGATATAAAGTAAGAATTCTTTTATGAGTGAATATCTCGAGTTGGTAAAAACGCTCAAGAGTTTTGAATAAAATTTCTTCTTATAGTGGTGACATTTTTCTCCTATTGGTCCATGATTTTTCTCGATTTTGAGTTTTCCACGTAAATCTTGGTATCTATATATTTTACTTCTTTCTAAAATTACTATGTCTATTTTTATCCTATGAGTGTTCTAACTTTAACAAGTGACGTCAGAGAACGTGGGCCCTAACAAATCTCACATGTGAGAAGAGTAATAGATGGGAAAAAAAATATAAAGTTAGAAAAACAAATTTTTTTTTGACTGGAAATCTCTTTCTTTCTTCGCTCCTCATTTTTATTGAAAAGTTTCAAGACTAGCAAAAAAGTGGGTTATTTCATTTTAGTTCTTCAAATTTTATTCTCTCTTACAATTTGGTTCTTATTGTTTTCAAATTTTCACACCAATTTCTGAATCATAAATTTTTTTCATCTTAACCCTTTTTAGATGTTCTAGCATTTTATTTCCCTTTACTTGAATTCTTACAACATTTATTCACTTATATTTCCATTCTTTTTTAGATGAAATTATACAAAATAAAGGAAACATCCGTTCTTTTTCATTGGATGATACCAAGTAAAGAAAAGAAAATATCTCTTCATTTCTTTTTCTTTCTTTTTTTTTTCTTTCATACAATATCCTTTTATTTCCTTTTTAGTTACCAAACATAGCCTAAATTAACTTGTTACAGGATGGTTGACTAATGGTCAGTTTGAGAGCAGTTTATGAATTGTATGAACTGAATTGGATTGTTTAAGCGGTGATCCAAGAAGGCTTAAATTGAATTAAGCTTTTTTGCTTAAACCAACTCTTTTCGTTAATGATATTTTGAATTTTTATGTCTTTTTTTTTTGCACAACAATTTTTTAAATTCAAAATTTTTTCTACAGACTCTGCTAGGTTGAATATAATTATTCCCCTCAAATTGATACAATCAAACTTTACATACCTATATCAAAGGAAAGTCACTATCAAATAAGGTATAAGGTTAAACAATTTTTTCAAGTAGCGAATTATATAATTTGAAGTATTATTTGGCATGAAAAATTTAAAATTTATTGTTTTTAATAAAATATATTATGTTACAAAAGTTTTTTAGGAGTTTTTTTTATTTATCGGACTAATTTACAAATTGCACCTCAATAATAGAAGTTTTTAGTATTTTACACTCCTAATACTATAATTTTAACACTTAACACCAAAATTTATTAAAAATGCATCGTTACAATAAATTGAAAGGTAAAATTAGAAATTTATATTATTAGAAGGAAAAAAAAGATCTAGATCCTATTTTTCTCTTTTCCTACTCCGTTCAACATTCTTTTCTTCGATTTTTAATAATTTAATTCATAAATAAATAAGGCATTTTAGGTAACACTAAATATTTTAAATATTGTATGAATCTAAACTACTAATTTATTTATTTTTCTTTTTAAATATAATTTATTTATTTTTGTTGAAGAATAAGACCACGGAGAAAAGAAAAAATTAAACATTTTAAAACTTATATTATGTTTTTTTAATTTTTTGTTCATTTTATTACTTTTACTATTGATTGAAAATGATAATATGAATTTTTTAAATAAAAAGAGCATGTTTTAAAAATAATGTCAAACATAGTTATATTTTGAAAATAAAAAATAATTTTATAAAATAAATTCAAACATCTTGTCATTCATTGTTCAAACAAATAGGTTAGAATTTAATTAATTAATAATTATTAATTAAATCTATTATTAGTTATTTAATAATTAAACAAGTTAGAATTTAACACATTTAATTATGTTATCTTAAATTTAAAATTTTCTCTAATTCTTCAACAAAATTAAATAAATTATATTTAAAAAAAAATATTTAAAATATACAATGTCACAATTATATTTATCTAAAAAAATAAAGTTTGACACATTTGGGTTAGAGTTTATTAATTAACTTATGAAAAAAGATTAAAATAATTAAAATAATATCAAGAATATTGAATAGGGTGATAATAGAGAAAATAAGATATAAATATATATATATATATATAGATTTACCCTTTAATAACACAAACTTACAATTTTGTCAATAAATTTTACAATGATTGTGTATTTTTGATAAAGTTAAGGTGTAAAATACTAAAATTATAATATTAAGGTACAAAGAGCAAAAAAAATCTATAATTTTAGGGTGCTGCAATATATAAATTAGTCTATTTATCAAGAAAAGATTTAAATCAAAATTTGAAAGTCTCAATTTTAAATTTAAAAATTTAAAATTTTATAGTCTTAAAATTTTTAAAATTTTAAAAATATTTTAAAATCTAAAAAGTTTATAGTATGAAGCCTGAACACACAGAGTGTAAAATATCCCTTAAATTATATTAAATATTTTACTCTAATTCTATTAATCAATAAATTTGACATCGGAATTTCCCAGAAGTAAATATTTGATATGACGTGGCATTTTTAATTTGATGTGGTAATTAATTTTAGTTACAAAATGATAAATCTAAATGCTTTAACCTGCTACTGAAATGAAAGCTCGCTGGGAGTCAAGTGTTGCTATTTAGTCCTTAAAAAAAATGTTTTTATGACGTGGCACCTCTTTCTTTCGTTTTTATTTAATTTTCAAAGGCATAACATTCTTCTGTGAAGAATTTGTTTGCACGGGCCAAGTGGTATTTTCTTCCATTTTCCCCGTCCCCGAGCTCTCTACGTTGTCTTCCCTTTCCACTTGGTACCCGTGTGAAACCCTAGCTCAGAATCCTAATCTTCGTCTCAACCTTTCTCTCTTTCTCTTCTCACACTCTTAATTTCCCTTTGTCCTTCTTTACCCTTTCAAGAATCTCCAATCTTGCTATCCTTGTAGCGCTTCGGTTGCGGCTCGATTCAACAGTGGCCACTGGTGTTTATCAGAATTCCTTGGTGATCACCAATTAATTGTCTCCTGGGAAGTGTATGGGTTGAAATTCACCTTTTCTAATGCGAAAGGAATGTGATGCTCGTGAGTCATAGGCAGCGAACTCGTCCGGGAACCATTTGGGTGTATCCGAGAAATTGGGTGCTAATTCACTGAATCCCTACGAGTTGGTGCTTTTATTTTCAGGATTTTAGAAGTAATGTATTGTTTGGATTTGGTTGTTGTTATTGCACAAGTTTGCCTTTCTGTCTATTTCATTTGCCCTATTTGTAGTCTTGCTTTAGGTAGGGTAATGGTTTAGGATCTAATTCTACGAGTTCGAATTACTTTTAGCTCTTTGCCTTTGGTTTATGAATTTTATTTGATTCGATGATTAACGTTTCGGTTCACTACCGTGATAAACAGGTTACTATTTGATATTACTTCTAAAATAATGGACCACAATGAGGATGAATGTCGGGTTGGAGGCGAACATCATGGAAAACAAGATGATGAGGTGAGCTTCGTGTTCTTTATCATGGATATGGCTTATGAGTCGTAACTTGGATGCTCAAAACGTTCTTCCCCTTATTTTGATCTTTGCGGTTCTCAGTTTTGATATATGGCTTGAAAGGACTTTTAAAGGAACAATAAATTATTTAGCAAGTTGGACAGTAAGTTGATTTGGAATGTTTGATTTATGCTAGGAAACATTGGCTAGACCTTCCAGTTCTATAATTTCTCGGGATCATAAATTTGAAAGAGAAGTTAGTAGTAATCGTAAATATGAGACATTTACTTTCACAAACACACAACACACGGTCTGCTTCTTTTAAAATAAAAGTTAGCCTTATATCTTTCTTATGCTCTATTTTTGAGAGGTCTCACTTTCAAGGTGTGAGATTTTAGGATATGTAATTTAATCTTATTTTTTGGGGGTATTCCAGGAAGCTGTTGCCCGTGAGGAATTTAAAAAGTCTGTGGAGGCTAAAATGGCCCTTCGCCAGAGTAACTTGAATCCTGAAAGGCCCGGTTAGTTCTTCTTGCCAAATTGATTTTTTTTAAGCATTAGATGTTGAATTTTTAGTCTGATGGGCTGACGTCTCAAGTCTGGTTTGCTTTTAGCCATGAGGTAAAACATCTGGAGGCATCTGTGGTGGTCAGACGAGTGATAACGTTTCATTGCAATTCCAATATACTATATATGAAGCGTGGTAATGAGATTTATTAAACTATGGATTGTGCAGTGATTGGGGTGCTTAATTCATTTGAAGTCACTTTTTATTTAAAGACCTTTTGAAGGAAATCAATTGGAATAAATATTTCAATTGGCCATTTGATTTTTTTTCCCTGGTTCGAAAAGAAGAAGGCAGTTAGGTAACTGGACTGCCTGTGCCAACGAAAACAAGAAAAAGCCCTCCCCTCCCCCCCCCCCCCCCCCCCCCCCCCCCAAAAAAAAAAAAAAAAAATCTCTCTCCTACGTTCTATGTTCCTTTGCCAGTACTGTTTAGCTTGTTTAAATCTCAAGTCCACGTGCATCTCTAGAATCAGAGCAAACTGCTAATTATATCTTAGGTTTATGCACTTGCAAAGAATAGTGTCTAAGTTGGACCAGGTTCCACTGTGCCCTTTGCATTCTTATTTGTTCACTGGAAACCTCAATTTCTTTCTTTCCTTTTTTGTTAATTATTTTAATGGTCTATTGTCTTCTCTCTAGATGAGTATTCATTTTGGAGTAGACATTTTCTTAGGTCTAATTCTCATCAAGATCTGCTTAAAAAAGGAATTGTGTGTGAGCTGTTGTTAGATGATCAATCAAGTGTGTAGTTTAACTGTCAAAATTTATATTGTGCCGGGTTTCCTGTTAAATTTTATGCCTAGTTTCAAATGGTAAAACTCCATGGTACATGCTAGCTTTGTTCAATCTTCTCTGGGAGTTCTGTACATGATAAAGAACAGGCAAATCTGCAAGTTGTCAATTGTACATTACCATTCATCCATAAGGTTAGATAAATAAAGATCTTTGTATTTTCAGTTTTCCTTTCTTCTCCGTCTTGAAATTGTGGTCATGGTCATCGTCATCATTGTCATCCTCTTCATTATTGTTATAAGATTTCAACATTTTGTTTTCCACTAAGAAATTGTTATTTTCAAATGTTTCAATGCAAGTGTTAATAATCAGAACATCAGTTCCTTGTTCTTTATTGATATTTTGCTTTATTTTCTCAGATTCAGGTTTTCTCAGAACATTAGATTCCAGTATTAAGCGCAACACTGCAGTTATTAAGAAACTTAAGCAGATTAATGAAGAGCAGCGGGAAAGTTTGATGGATGAATTGAGAAGTGTCAACTTAAGTAAATTTGTTAGTGAAGCAGTAACAGCTATTTGTGATGCCAAACTGAGGTCTTCAGATATACAAGCTGCTGTTCAGGTAGTTAATTGATTTGGTGTGATGTACTTGGTACACTTCACTGTATGGTTTCTTTTTGAAGTTTCAAAATGTTAGCTTTTTTACTATATTCTTCCAAAGTTCTTCTTTATCCAGAAACAAGGAGTTATAGTTGTTTGATAGTAGGTTTTATATTTCCTAAAATGTATACGTAACACAAGGTTTGTTTGTTCTACATTTGGAAGAGATTCTGGGGCAGAACTATTAGTTGTTTCTTATTTGTGAGGTAGCTTTTATCATTAACTTCAATTTCGAGAGTAGAAGACCATCCTAAGCTGGAATCTTGTTGAAAAATGTTTTGGCTTTAGCAATTCTTTGTCTTCCTTTTGTTCTAAGGGGTGTGTGTGTGCGCGCACGCGCGTGCGTGTGCATACTTATGTGGTCTTATATCTTTAACTTCTAAAGCTAGTTTATAATTTTATGGCTCATTTATGTAACAATGCCTAGTAATAAGTTATATAAGTAGATATATTATTAGCAGCACTGGCCATTGCTACGGGGAGTTACTATAAGAAGTGGTAAAACTATCTGGGCAATCACGTACCTGTTATATGTCCTTTAGAAGGTATATGATACATGAATTGTTGGAGTACATGTTTTTACTGCTTTATCCATGTTTTATATCTTGTTTTGCTTTGTGTAACTTGCATTCTTCCTTTTCCTCTCCCTTTTGTGCATTGTAGATCTGTTCATTACTTCATCAAAGGTACAAAGATTTCTCGCCAAGTTTAATGCAAGGCCTCTTGAAAGTTTTCTTTCCTGGGAAGTCTACGGATGACTTGGAGGCAGACAGGAATTTAAGAGCCATGAAGAAGCGCAGCACTTTGAAACTCCTTTTGGAGCTTTATTTTGTTGGAGTTATAGAAGACAGTAGTATCTTTGTTAATATCATTAAGGACCTTACTGGCGTGGAGCACTTAAAGGACCGAGATGCAACTCAGACAAATCTATCTCTTCTTGCTAGTTTTGCACGACAAGGGAGAACTTTCCTAGGATTTCCATTGTCAGGACAAGAAATTCTTGAAGAGGTACAATAATTTTTTCTCCTACTATATTCTCTTCCCTTTTTCGATAGCTCCTTTAATTTATTATGTCTCCCCTGTTGCTCAAATATGTAGTATGTTTCATGGTTTGTATTCAGATTTTTTGTTCTTTTGTTGCTGGATGTTTTCCTAGTGATAACATGATATGGGGATTAAATAAGGGGGATGATCAGTTGCTTTGTTTTAAAATGATCAGTTGCTTTGTTTTAAAATGAGCTTATTAGTGTTTTTAATCCATTTTGCTGCCTTTTCTTTTCTTTTCTTTTTTCCATTTTATTTTTAAATCTTGCCCGTCTTAATTGACATTGCTTAAAACATTCTTAATTTGGGTTAATTATGTGCCCATTAATCTTCATGATGAATGTGTGCATGATTTTTGAGGGTTTCTCTTTTAACAATTTATCAAAAATAGTATGGAAATTGAAACTAAAGGCTGTGAAAGTGTACTACATTTTATTGATTACAGGACTTTGATGCTATATATTACACTTTAATTGCAGAACTTTGATCCTAGTTTTTATTGACATTCTATGCATTTCACTGTAGAGTTGTCAGTGCTAATTTAGTTGTGTTTTATAATCTATGTTGGGATACTATTGCAGTTTTTCAAGGGCCTTAATATTACTGTAGACCAGAAGAAATTCTTCAGAAAGGCATTGCATACTTATTATGATGCAGCTGCAGAGCTACTTCAATCAGAGCATAGTGTAAGATGTTGGACCTATTCTGAAACTTGTTTCATGTTGTGATAATTTTTTAATTTTTTCTTTTCAAAATTAAGTAAATATAAAATATATATTCAATATCATTCTTCTTGAACTTCTGCATGCTGTAAATTCAAGCATTGTGGGGAGAATCTGTTTTTTCTGCCATATTATTGTTTTTTTTATCAATTGGTAGTAGCTGATAGATTTTTTTTTGCTTTTCCTTCCCCCTTTCTGTCACTTTGATATTCAAGTCACTTCGTCAAATGGAGCATGAAAATGCAAAGATCCTGAACTCGAAAGGTGAGCTGGGTGAGGAAAATACCTCTTCTTATGAAAAGCTGCGAAAATCTTATGACCATCTCTACCGAGGGGTGTCAGCGTAAGTTGATTTTTCATTCTGTTGATTAAACTTCTGTCCATTGTGGATGGTGTTATTTTTCATGGGTTGATACTTTGGTATTTAGGTGAAACTACAGGTCAATTCCATGACTACTTTGTCCATCTATTAAAAAATTTTGCACAAAGTTTGAGAAAAGATCAATGGCCCTAAAATTTACATAACAAATATATATTGCATCACCACCAAGATAAGTGGACCAAGATAGCCTGTTAAACAAGAAGAGGCAACCCAGCCAGTGCATGGGGGCTTCTGCCATGATGGGGTTTGCTGTAGGTTAGATGGATCTAGTCTTGCCCTCTTGTGGAGAGTTTTCATGAATTTGGAATTGTAATGCCTGCTTCCAAGGTCATAGTGAAGCACGTTTACTACTGCAACAAATGAGGGTGACCTCTCCATGGCCCAACCTTATATGAATAATTTAATTGAGAACATGCCATGTTCACTTGGTTGTTCAAAATTTTTCTTTACACAGTTCTTGATGACGTTATTTGGTGTTGATATTTGAGATGCTTGTGCTTGACCTCGACTGAGCTTGAAGGTGTTGTAGTACCTGCGAAGATGATTACCATTAACTTGGTCAAAGGTTCCTGAAGAAGGGATTGTAGGGATGAACACAAGGAAAAAGGCAGTTTTACTGGGGAGAAGCTGGAGAAATAACGCTTCACAAAACTGTTATCTTGCAAGCATGGATGTAGCTGATGTCTCTCAAGAGTCAAGCAGCACTTAAAGACAAAATTACAAGATTGTGGCTTGTTATTCTTAGCTGACTAACTAATGAAGCAACTGCTACTTTTAGATGACATCTTAAAACCCAGTAATAGCAAGAGATTTATTTAATTAAATTTATATGGAAGTTAGATTGATGGTTGTTTTAATTCTTTATTCTCTGGGAACTTCAATATTAAGCGAGCTTAGCTTTTGCCTTCATAAAGCTGGTCCCAAACCCTGGATGAAGGTTGTGATAGTTAGCTGACAGCCAGATAATGTAGAACCTTGAAGGATCTAGTGAGCACTTGGCAAATGAACAAGGAACTAGTAAATATTCAGTAATAAGGGTCTCTTATCATTTTGAAAAGCTGACAGAAATGAACCTGGCACCCTAGTGAGCGGAAACTGTTTTAAACAAATTATTCTTCAAACATGAATCATCAAGGACTTCCACACAGTAGGTTCTGTATGATTGTTGGATATCTGAAGATTGTTTGCATCTCTATCTTATGGTTTTTTCTTAAGAGTTATTTCTATTCTTATTATGTGATTGTGTCAAGTCTTATAAAGTTGTCATCTTGCAGTTTAGCTGAAGCTCTTGACATGGAACCTCCAGTGATGCCAGAGGATGGTCACACAACTAGGGTCACAACTAGGGAGGATGTGTCATCTCTGGGTGCTGGAAAAGACTCATCTGTTCTTGAGGCAATGTGGGATGATGAAGATACTAGAGCATTCTATGAATGTTTACCAGATCTCAGGTTTGTGCTGGTTTCTTACCTAATGCCAATAGTTCTTGCAAACAATTCCAATCTTTTTTGTTTCATTGAATAGTGTCTAGGTGGTAATTCCTAGAGTGAAAAATTCACCTAATTGAAGCTCATCAAGTCTGTTGCATACTTGTTCTTTCCAGAGCTTTTGTGCCAGCTGTTTTACTGGGCGAAGCAGAACACAAGGTGAATGAGCAATCCTCAAGGACACAAGAACAACCATCCGTAAGGAACTTGTGTTGATTATGAGCTCTATGTCTTTTTTGTTTATATTGAGAGTGATCCATGAATAGCTTAGTTAATTTTTTTGTTTTCTTGAGGGTAGATAACATTTGGCAGTCAAATAGCGAAGCATTTTTATGACAATTAATTGAGTGTATTCCATGTTAACAGGCTGATAATATTGATTTCTCCTATCTTCTGTATTTTTTCTTTAAATTTTCCTTTTATTTTTGGTTGTTTCTTTTTTTTTTTAATATAAAAAATTTTATCTTTACTGGTGAAATGTCATCCCATTAACTGAAATACTTTTGTTGTCTTTCTGAATATTCAGAAAGTCTAGGAAACCATATGGTCATGAACATTGATTGTGCACTCTGAAGAATACAGGCATAGCATAGCCCTTGATAAGATTTGTATCCCACCTTTAGTTTTTGTTTTTATTTTTTTTATTTATATTTCTGTAATTGTAGTATGAATGCCTTTTATGCAACACTGTTATTATCTTTTACTTGATGTTTTTGATGTTTTGTTATTCCATATGTGTTTCTTATAGCTTACCTAACCAAAATTCCCACTGGAAAGTCTGTGCTTACTTGTATTCTTATGAGTTTGATAAGTTTCAACCTGCCTTTCTGCTGAATCCTTACTTGGAAAGTTGCTTCCTGTATTTCATTGTTTGTACATGCTGCTCTGTTGCATGCCATCTGTTTGATTGAAGTCCGTATGGGACTGGACTTAAAATATACCATATTATTTTATCTCTAACTTTTTCCTGGTTCATTTACTTGGATGGAATTTTTGTGCAAGGAATCGGGAACTGAACCAGACCAGGGTCAGATTGCTAGCTCAGATTCAGCTGAGGTTCCTGCAGATTCTGGAACTTTGCAGGAGGGAAAAACGAGAAAGGGAAAGACAAAGATGAAAAAGACAAAGAAAAGGCCAAAGATCCTGACAAAGACAAAGGAAAAGACAAGGATGCTGAAAGAAAAGGAGAAAATGAAAAGGAGAAGATTAAAGGTCTTGAAGGAACAAATTTGGATGGCTTATTGCAGAGGCTTCCTGGATGTGTGAGCCGTGACCTAATTGATCAGTTGACCGTATGATGCATTCTCGCTTTTCTTTTAAATTAATGTTTTGATTCTGGGTTTTCAAAAGCATCTTTTATGCATGTTCATGTTAATGTATATTATTGCTTCATGATGTTATTTTTCCAGGTGGAATTTTGTTATTTAAATTCAAAATCAAACCGGAAAAAACTTGTGAGAGCTTTGTTTAATGTCCCACGCACATCTCTAGAATTGCTACCGTACTACTCGCGCATGGTCGCCACACTTTCAACTTGTATGAAGGATGTATCTTCCATGCTATTGCAGTTATTGGAGGAAGAGTTCAACTTTCTGATAAATAAGAAGGTATATGCATTACATTTTCTTTATGTAAGTCAATACCTTTGATTGGTTCTTATATTTATATTTGTCATGTTGGTTTTTATGACAATTTTGGGTGTTCTTTAATTATTGTTGTAGGATCAAATGAACATTGAAACAAAGATCAGGAATATTCGGTTTATTGGTGAGCTCTGCAAGTTCAAAATTGCTCCTGCTGGCCTTGTGTTTAGTTGTTTGAAGGTACTTATGACAGAATCAGTTAATATTGGTTCTGTAAGAATGTTGCTTTTACATGGATTATGTCATCTGAAATTCATTTTGTTCATTGGTTTTATGACACTTCCTCTCCTAGTTTAGTGTTTTTTTTTCCCTAATATATTTTGAAAGGTAGGGAGGTCTACGTAATTTGAATGTGCGATCCATTTCCATTTTCCTTTTTTATTTCATATTTTTCCCCAAAAGGGGCAGTGAAGTAACATTTCTATTTCTACTACAAAATGGTAAATTTTTGCAATCTTCTAGTTTTTCTCATTTATGTTGCTTTTAGTTCTTAATTATATATTTTCCTCAACCTCACTTTGTGATGGCCTAAAGTCTCAGCAGGAAAGTAAACAGGAAAGTTATATTGTCAATTGGGATTCAAGAACAGAATGGATGTTCAGGTTACAACTATTTTATGTTGCACTCTTACTTAAGAAAGGCAACTTCTTTGTCTTTACAGGCTTGTTTAGATGATTTCACTCACCACAACATTGATGTTGCCTGCAATCTTCTAGAGACATGTGGCCGTTTTCTTTACCGGTCCCCAGAAACTACTGTACGCATGACTAACATGCTAGAGATACTAATGCGTTTAAAAAATGTAAAAAATTTGGATCCTCGTCATAGCACACTAGTAGAAAATGCTTATTACCTATGCAAGCCACCGGAACGATCTGCACGTGTCTCTAAAGTACGCCCACCTTTGCATCAGGTACCAGTCATTCTTGATTCAATTTATATCTTTTGTGGAAGGGTGTCACTGATCTCTGATAACCTCCTTGTGATGAACCTTGCAGTATATAAGAAAACTACTTTTCTCAGATCTTGATAAATCTACTATTGAGCATGTGCTGAGACAACTTCGTAAACTTCCATGGAGTGAATGCGAATCATACCTTCTAAAATGCTTTATGAAGGTTCACAAGGGAAAGTATGGTCAGATTCACTTGATTGCTTCACTTACTGCCGGCTTGAGTCGCTATCATGATGAATTTGCTGTTGCAGTTGTTGATGAGGTAATTTTTCCTTAGGAAACATAGCTAATCATTTATTGTTTTCCTCTTAAGCATTTTCTCCATTTCTATTATCAAGCAGTTGTCCTCATTCTGTGTTTTCTAAATGTCTCCCACTTTGTAATACAATATAATGATACCCTTGTAGTTGTATGATTATCATAATCTATGCTGCCAATTATCTTCTGCTGACTTGTTCGGTTACTGCAAGTGTCTTAGGAATTAATTAAATATATGGCCAATGTGGAGGCAAAATGCTTCTGGTTTACATTTGTTGTCTTTTGAGATTTTTCTTATATGCAATCACCTTTCCTTTGGGTTTGATTGCCATAGAGTGTGATTGCAGACATTTCTTTTCCATGAGGATGGATATTTTGGCAAGTGATTTCTCCTTGGATCAATGGTTATTTCACCTTGTTTGTGTCCCTTCCCAGAAAGTGAAAAAAAAAAAAAAAATAGAGACTCCTCAACCAACCAAAACAGCCTGCTGCTTTTCTATTAGCAGCAAATATGTATAGCTGAGGTGAACTGTAGTATGATCAAGTTCTGCTTCTTTGACAAATTAATGTTCAAGCTCAGCTTGAGTGAGAGCTCGAAAAGCTCAAATCCTAGCTTGACTTTAACTTATTAAAGATAATTGAGCTTTCCATCTAGTATTAGAGCTTAAAACATATCAATCTGGATTGCAAACTTTCTGGATGAAGATCTACTAGTTTGGTCTCAATCTCAATAGTGTTGATTTGTTTTTTTAAAATGAACATCTTGGTTTGCTGGTCACCTCCTAGTCAAACCTAGCCAAACCAACCTGTCTGCATAAATATATTGACAAACAAGTGGAGGAAGGCTCAAAACTACATTGGGTCAATGTACCTGTTGTAGAAATTTGAATCAAATTATGGTTTATTATTTACTAAAGGGCATCAGAATTTTACGATAGATTATTTTTTGATCAGTTGTGTTACTAAAGAACCACTCTGCCACTGAATTTATTCTCTCTGTGGTGCCAATGGCATGTAGAATTTGTTTGCCAGGAGTTTATGGTGCTGAAGCACTGTTGTTTATCATTTCATTTCTTGGTATTACTTTGATTGTCTGCTCAAGAGAGTTTTAAATCCAATTTTGTAGTTGATATGATTTTCTTTGCTGATTTTTTTTGTTATGTTACAGTGTCCTTTATTTATCTAAATTGTTTTTATTTTCTTCTCTTTTGTTTATATGGTTACATAAATCCATTTATATCAATTTTATACCTCAACCTTGATGATGGCAGATGGTATAAGTTGAATTTTGTGCCTGCATGTGTTCGTGGACTTGCATGCTTATTTTTATATTCAATTCAATATCTGCTGATAGTAGCCATTTCTGGAATTATTTCCAGGTTTTGGAGGAAATAAGACTGGGGCTAGAGTTGAATGACTATGGGATGCAACAGCAACGCCTTGCTCATATGCGGTTCTTAGGAGAGCTGTATAACTATGAACAATTGGATTCTTCAGTTATTTTTGATACCCTCTACTTGATTCTTGTTTTTGGCCATGGGACAGCAGAGGTACAAATTCCTAAGTTTCGACTTTAAGATATGTAATGGGGTGATTATAGACGTTCTTTAATCTTGTCCAAGCAATGGTACTGGATATTTTTGAGATATGAATGCACCCATTATTATACATATGCAAGACAGGAAGCAGATGGGTTGAGTAGCAAATGGTATAAATAGAGAATCTATGGTATCAATCAATAATGTGGTAGAACTTAAGGAGATTGATAATTTGTGACAGTTTGAGATTGATAAAGCCTCACAACTTGTTAATGCATCAGCTTGTACATATTTGAACAAAAATTAACACATTTCATCTTATAAGGTGATAGGATAAGTTATTTGATTTTTTGTTTTTTGGGTTTCTAATTATTATTGTTTGGCGTTGAGGGGAGGGTAGGGGAAGATTACAAAAGTTACGTGAGAATTGCTATTGCTGATGTTTGGATAAACAAGTGAGAAATAATGACAAGATGCATGTGGTACAAGTGTCCTGCTCCCCCACACCCTCCCCTCCTGTACATATAGAGTTTTTGAAAATAAAAAATATCTTTATGTTGTCCTTATGCTGTGTGTGGCAATATTCTTACCAAATCTCACAATTTTTGGGGAGACTTGCAAAGGTGGATTCTCTAAAGGTTGGTTTTTTTTCACTTCTTACACCCTCATTATTTCTTATAAATTAGAACATCTGAATATGAAAAAACAATCCTGATGATGTTTATTCACTGTAATATCTTGGTGTTTGACATGTGCACTAACTAGTTACGATGTTTGGTAATTTTCAAATAATTAGGCCACATTAAAATAAAAATAAAAACTAAACTTGCAGAAAGTAACTTATTTAGATTAAAGTTATGAAGCTAAAAATAGAGGTGCTTGTGTGTATACATTGATATAGGTCTTCCATAGAGATTAGAGAAAATGGTGGTTTTTAAATGATAATTCGAAGATGCTTGTGATCTCCTTTTTTTGAACTATTGATGGTGAGTTCCATGGCAAGGCTTGCTGGCAGAAGCAAACCTTATGATTTGCTTATTGCTGTCATTAAATAGCTTATATGAGATAACGAAGCAAAATGTAATCTTTTACAGGTTAGCTTAACTTTGATTTATATTTTAAATCAAAATGAAGATGAAAGATTTGTATGGCCGATCCCTTGCAGTTAAGAAAAAGTCTCAGTTGAATTAAGTGAAGAGTGTTCTATGTTGGTTTGCGAATTTCCATCAATGGTAATGGCACTTGAAAAGACTTGAGGAGAGGGAAAAGATAGAGCTTGAGGAAAGAATCTGCATAATAGAATATTAGGTCACATGGTTAACACTAGGTTTTGGTGGAGCTGATTGGTGGTTGGTTGGTTACTCCAGGGAATGTAATGGAGGTTTGGTGGATTGGACCCTTTTTTTAGTTCCAGATGATCTTTGCTTCCGTTTATGCTTTTTTACAAATTGCTAACTTGTACATTTTTTAACATTCCATGTTATCAGCAAGATGTGTTGGATCCACCTGAAGATTGTTTTCGCATCAGGATGGTTATTATGCTTCTTGAAACCTGTGGACATTACTTTGGTAGGGGTTCCTCAAAGCGGAAACTTGATCGGTTTCTAATTCATTTCCAGAGATACATTCTTAGTAAAGGAGCATTACCGCTGGATATTGAGTTTGACATACAGGTTAATCTTGCATTGCTTTTTCTTCATTTTGTTTTGTTTTTAATTTTCTCAATTACAGTACTATTTACATTAGACATGGTTGGAAAATCCAGTTGAGTGGGAAGATTCTTTCCCCAGGTAATTAGTTTTCAGAGCTTGGGTAGAACTTCTGAAAAAGATTTGGAGAAAGGTAATCAGCAAAATGTTTGAGGGGGTGATCAGGGTTATTAAGGGGTATGCAAACAATTCAGTAATCTTTGGGAAATAACCAAAAACAACTCTTTCTCTACTCTCTTTCTAGTCCCTAGTCTCAACTACATTCAACTCTCTTCCCTTTTTTCTTTGAAATTTCAATTTTAATGGATTAAGTATATTATGAAAATTTCTCTAATTTCACTTTGTGCTTGTGCCAAAATTGACAGCTGAGTTTTCTTATTGGCTTGCAATCAATTTTTTATTGGTTCCGGGTTCTGTTCATACTTTAAGTCATGTTTCTCTGTTTCCTGTGTTGCCTTTCCTTTCCCCTTGCATGGAGCTGCCTTCATCAAGGCAATAGGCTTTATGACTTAATTCATCTGAGTTATGAGATTGAAACGTGGAAAATGATGGTTATGTGATTTTCTATAGAGGACGTATTTGACTTGCTGATTACAATGGCCTAGGTAGTTTATTGACCTCAAGTGCTTGCCATATGGATGGAAGCCAAATGTTGGAAGTGAACCCTGACCCTTTGCCCATTTGTAACAGGCCATTTTTGGGGCGTTCTATGAGAATAGGGACACCACCTTGAGGATTCCTCCTGTCTCTTTCTTTTCCATAATAAAATAATATGGAAGCCTTGTAATTCAGCCATGACTGAAGTTGTCCTGCTGGTTTCTATATGCTTGTACCTTCTGTTAACTTCATAAAGTACTGGGATTAGATAGAAATAAATATGGACTGTTTACTAGGAGAATGTTGGTGGAATTGGAATTAGATATGATCTTGGTATAACATTTGAGCTTAAGATGAAATCTAATTACATCTCATGGATTTTTTTTTTTGGCTGCCAAATGGATGCAGCTATAGGAAAAATGGTTTTAATTTGTCCGGCTTTGCTAGTGTTAAGTTCCTAGTATCTTATGATTGCTTTAACTTAGGATGCTGATTCTATAGCTTGTCCTGCAATTTTTTTCCCCCTTATTCTTTTTTCCTTTTTTTTTTTTTTTGGTTCAAAAGATCAGCTTTCTTTGTTTATCTACTTATGGTCAAAAGTTGAAGCATTACAGGACTTGTTTGCTGATTTACGTCCAAACATGACTCGATATTCATCATTGGAGGAAGTTAATGCTGCTCTAGTTGAACTCGAGGAGCATGAACGTACAGTTTTTGCTGATAAGGCCAACAACGATAAGCAATCGGACTCAGAAAAACCTCCAAGCAGGATTTCTTCTGGTACCATCTCAGCAAATGGACAAGGACCTGTAAATGGTATGGGGGAAAATGGTGGTGTGCATGATGACAGTGACAGTGATTCAGGAAGTGGCACCGTTGACCCAGATGAGGAGGAGGATTTTGATGATGAGAATCATGATGATGAATCTGATAGTGAGGATGATTACAATGATGGCGGTGGTCCTGCTTCTGATGAGGATGAAGAAGTTCGTGTTAGGCAAAAGTTGACACAGGTGGACCCTCAGGAGGAGGCTGAGTTTGATAGAGAACTTAGGGCTCTGATGCAGGTAAATCAGGTCTTGTTGATCATATTAGGACTGGCAGATATGCTAGTGTAATGATAATTATTGCACAACATTTAGAAGACACTCATATTTTATAATATACTGAGGCAAGCTCTAAAAGGACAGTTGGGACAGTTTTGCCACAGTTGGGATATTGCTACATATTATAAGCTAACAACCATTTTATTGTAGTGACCATTGTTTAATTACAGTTTTCTCCACCTATTAAAGGGATTGCTATTGAATGCAGGAGAGCTTGGATTCACGAAAGCTAGAATTGCGGTCCCGTCCAACTTTAAACATGATGATACCAATGAATGTATTCGAAGGCCCAACCAAAGAACATCATGGAAGGTCTTTTGAAGGGGAAAGCGGTGATGAGATATTGGATGATGAAGTGGGGGGAAGCAAGGAGGTTAGGGTGAAAGTTCTTGTGAAGCGGGGGAGCAAACAACAAACAAAACAGATGTTTATTCCTCGGGATTGCTCACTTGTGCAAAGCACAAAACAGAAAGAAGCTGCTGAGCTCGAAGAGAAACAAGACATCAAGAGGTTAGTTTTGGAATACAATGATAGAGAAGAGGAGGAACTTAATGGGTTGGGGACACAACCGACTGGCTGGATGCAAAGTGGGGGTGGTAGGTCATCCAATCGGGGCCACACATGGGAAGGCCACGGTGGAAGGGGTGGCAGTGGATCACGCCACCGCCATCAGCATTATTCAGGGGGTGGCTTCTATTATGGTCGAAGAAGATGAAGTATATGACTGATAAAAGGTTGAAAACATGGCTCGGGCTCTCATCCTTGTCAAACCAAACCAGTGCATACGCTGTAAAGTCTTTGTAAATTATACCTAATCTATTAATCAATAACCTGAGTAGTTATATCTATCCTAGTGCGATGAATGGCTTGTGAACCATGGCACGTATCTTCCCTTAGCTGTCAGAGCCCAAAAGTTTTGAAGGGAAGTGGCATATTAAAGAGCATTTAATGTAGAAGGGTTATTGTACAGAAGGCAGTAATGAATTACAAAAACAGTGCCTTGTGGGTTGTGATGTGGCTGAACTTTTCTCAGGTTTTGGGCCTTTGGACCAGTATTCACCTATTTGTGCTTGGTTAATATACGAAGAAAGGTTGAGTGCATGATGGAGTGAGTTATGAGGTTTTCCTAGGGGTTTAACTTGCAAACCCTCGTGCTGCCGGGCATTACCAGTTGTAGCTCTGGTTAAAAATAGATTGTGACTAGCCTTCTGATAGGTGATCTAATGTTAATATTGATCGGAACTATACTAGTTTAATATGATATTGGAATTTTGCAACCCTATTTGATTTATGTATATCACCGTTTGGAACCCTTGGAATGTAAACGAGAGTACGAGACCTCGCACTCTGGTAGTGTTGTTGAATGTCACGAAAGGGTGCAACTTTGGTTTTCGCATTGTCACATTTCACTGTTCAGAAATCACCGAGTTTTAACGAACTTTATATTATTTCATATCAACAAAATCGTTTGACGCGCGGCATGCTTAGTTTTATTTGGCATGTCTCTTGAGCAAGATGGATTGCTGCATAAAAGAATCTAGAAGTTTTGTCTTTTCAGCCTTCTTTAGTGTTAATCATCGAGTTCATTTGTGTATAAATCAGAATAAATTTTGGTGGGAGGAATATATTTATATATTTGTGCATGCACAGAGGACATATATGTATATACATGTATATCAGGGGCCCTCCTACCTTTGTCAAGATTGGGACAATGGCTGTGGCTGACGACTGCACACTCCCTCCACGTGCAGGGATAAGCAGACCATACGGCCACTGATATTTTTGCCACTTCCGGGCCATTTAATCGACTCCTAAATGCTAATAATGCTGTGTGGTGAAGAAGAGGGCGACCTAGAGATCAATAAGCTGCGCCGTTTAAGCGCAGGCTAGGGCTTCTCTCAGGTTTCGTGAGACACAAAGGGACATTATAAGATGGTAAGAAAGAAGTATGAGCAAGAACCAGGAGATGTTGAAAGAGAGGACAAGCCTTTCTGCTTCTGAAGAACAGATGGTCGAGTGGGCCGATGGAACCGCTACTGTCTTGTCCACCGGATTGGACCATCCCGTTGAACCGACGGTTCAATCATGAAAGGGGCAGCCAGCCATGTTGCTACGAGAGTAGGCACCATCTAAGCGAAGTACCGTGCTTGTGGCGCTCATGTAGAGAGGATACGAGGGAGCCTGAAAAAAAAAAAATAATAATGCCCAGAAAAAGAGCAACGTGGAGAAAATCTGCCCTTCAGAGATTGATCCTGCGTCTGCAGAGCCATACCAAAAGAACCTACCGTGCCCCACCTAATTCTTGTGAGACAAGAATAAAACTTCCCAATTAAGGACTACTTTATCTTTTGAACAACCCTGAAAAATCCTAATTTTTTGTCCTTTTGATTTGAGTTGATAATGACAAAAGATAAACATCAAATTAGAGGGTCCATAGATATTGTGAGAGGCAAAAGATAAAACTGAACTGTTTTTTAAGCATGGGTACAAAGGAGAACATTCATGGTAAAAAGTATTTACTGTGTAGGACACATTTTTTGTTACGGCGTATAAGATAAAGTTGTATAGGAAGGAAGCGAAGACGTGTGTGAGATCTTAACAGACAAGGAAAGAAATATACATATACATACATACACGCACGCGCACACACAGTAAAAGAAATTGATTGACTACAAAAGACTGCCGTACAAGAATGAAATGACATCCCTGTTCCAAGGATTTCATTACAAACTCGGATGTCTTCACACACACATATGGAGAAGTTGGAGGCCAAGTACACAGGCATAGGGAGCTGTCTTCGAGTACCCTCAGTTCAGGATCTGGCCGGGGTCCCAATGGCCACGATTCCACCGCGATATATTCGGCCTGATCAGGACCCTCCGATCATGTCAGACGCTTCTTCCTTTCCCATCGTCCCAGTGATCGACTTGCAGAACTTTCTCTCTTCAGATTTAATGACTTCAGAGCTTGATACGCTCCATTTTGCCTGCAAAGAGTGGGGTTTCTTCCAGTTATCTATGTACGCATGTATCTGAAAATGAGTAAAAAGGAGCAGCTTATCTACCAAAAATCTCTTAAATTGTTGTTTTTTCAAGTCTGTAAACCGCTCTTGGATTATAATAACGTTTCCTAGTTCATCAATCCAACGAGATAGTGCTCGATAAATTTGAGATTTGAGTCTGAAGCCTCTGTTTTCAGGGTAAACTGGAAAGGGAGAAAGATTTCTCCTTCTGCTGCAATTTTTTTTTTTCCATTTGAAAATAAATTGGGTACAGGGGAATTAGCCGCCTGAGCTAACCCATTTGATTCAGAATTGATTCTAATGCAAAGCTAAACATACAAAATTTCAGTTGATCAATCATGGGGTTAGTTCTGAATTGGTGGAGGAAGTCAAACATGGGATCGAAGATCTCTTTAAACTACCGATTGAAGAGAAAGAGAAGCTGTGGCAAGAGCCAGGAGATACGCATGGCTTTGGACAACTCTTTGTTGCGTCAGAAGACCAGAAGCTTGATTGGGCTGATATCTTTTAACTGGTATCCTTTCCAAGTCGTTTGAGAAATCCCAATTTTTTCTCTAAGCTCCCTGTTACATTCAGGCCAGTGCACATGCTTCTTCATTCTCTAAAATATTTATATTTATCCATTTAGCCCTCTGCATTTGAACATAATCATATTTTGGTTCCATTACTTCCAATGAAAACAGCCAAGCCCCCACAGTTCAGGACAAGTTGCAATGTTATCCCTCTGTCCATTGATGTTTTGGATGTCACTATCAAATTAAAAAGGGTCAGAAGCAAAGGGAAGCTAATTTTGAAGTGCACCGTGCAAAATAATATTTATTTTAATTATGGGTATAAAGAGTAGAATTTTTCTCATGTGAGAATCACGTGTATTTTTTCTGTCAGCCATGATGACCTGTGGGTGCAATTGGGAAACATTGCAAAGTGGAGGAATGAATTGAGATTTGGTTTCAAGTGCAGAGGTTCAACTGTAATTTGGATTATATGAAATTATATTTTTTTCATCTGTATTCCTATATAATGCAGGGATACCATGGTGGCATAATTGACAAGAGTGAGAAGCATTATGCAGTGTTACTCGGCCATATGGCCAAAGCATTAAAGATGAGAGAAGAGGAAGTGAGGGAGTTGTTTAAAGGGGGAATGCAAGCACTGAGAGCAAACTACTACCCTCCATGCCCACAGCCAGAGCTTGTTATTGGCCTGAGCCCCCACTCCGATGCCGGCCTACTCACCGTCCTCCTCCAACTCAGAGATGTGCAAGGCCTGCAGATTAAGAAGGATGGAATCTGGATTCCTGTCAGGCCTCTTCCTGATGCTTTTATAGTAAATGTCGGAGATAGCTTGGAGGTAATTCATGTTCAGATTTCTCAAGTTGTAAAGATTTTACTTTGAAGCTTGTTGCACATGGCTATATAAAGACAGAAAAATCAATGCTCAAAATATCAAAACTAATTTCTAATATGAGCAGTAAAAATCTTACATTTGGAGGCCAACTGCAATGCAATGTACATCAACTGCAAGGACATCACAATTAAACTGAAAGTTCAAGGGGAAAAAGTAAAAACTAATTCTAAAGTTTGGGGTGCAAAGCGAAATTAGTTCTAAAGTAGAATGTACAACTTCTTTCGTTCTTTATTGGTAAGCGCACATAGACGACTAATGGAATCGGTTAGCAACACCTTCGATTTGCAAATGAACCAAATTAAAGTGTGGCCCTTATTTTTGTCTGACTCACAATCTCGTCCAGAAAGATTTTATCAAGGTGTTTATCGATTTGGTTTAATTTTGACATTATATAAATCGAATCGAACATGTTGATTTTGGATTTGTGTAGACATGATTGATTTTGTATGCCAAAAAATTGAACCAAACCAGACATGATTTAAGTCAGTTTTATTTGTTTGACCTAATCAGTTTTACATATTTTTTTTTCAAAACAAAAATAAAACACATGTTTCCTTCAAAACAAAAATAAAAGAGAATAAAATCTAACATGATATTTAGTTTTTGTATTAAACTTATACTTGTTAGAGAGAAATTAACACTAAATACAAATTAATAAATCTATACAAAAAATAATAAAAAATGATATATATATATTAAAGTAAATAAAATTAAAGTTAATCGGTTCAATTTAGTTTATTTTTTTGGAATAAAACTGAAAATCGAACTTAACTGAATTGATCAATTCGACAGTTCCATAAATTAAATAAATTAATTTCTTTCGATTTTCAATATGTTTGGTTAGGTTTGAGTCGATTTAATATATTTGGTTCGTTTCAAACATTCTGAGTCTTATTCACTATGATTTTACTTGAATTTTTCTGATTCTACCTTTAAGAATAGTGTTGTCATCTCCTTGTAAAAAATGAATAGACTGCATTTAAAAGCCGTATCAAATAAATCTATTATTTGTTTGAATGGTTATTGGCTGTGGCAGATTGCGACCAACGGAATCTACAAGAGCATTCAGCACCGAGCAGTGGTAAACTCAGAGAGGGAGAGAGTGTCCATTTCAGCATTCCATACCCCGAACATGGATGAAGAGTTAGGTCCATCACCCAGTTGTCACTCCTGAAAATCCTGCACAGTTCAAGAGGGTGAAAGTGGAGGAGTACTACAAAAGATTCTTAGGTCGCAAACTTGATCAGAAATCAAACCACGACGCAATGAGGATCCAGAGCAGTTGTGAGGATGGTGAAGACATTTGAACGGACACAGGGTACAACAAGTAGGCAATCAACTGCAATACATTAATTCAGATCAAGCTGGTATTTTGCATATAGAAGAAAAATTATGTCAAATAAATAAAGCACTCTGTTTCTTAGCAGAAGAGATGTTGTCAGGTAGCCTTCAACCAATTCAAGGATATAATTATATGAGATTATCGAATGGTAATTAAAGAAAACGAAATAAGGAGATGGGAGAATGAAAATAATGGAGAAGGAAGCTTATAAACTTGACCTGGTTGAGAACAACATAACCCAATTTGTATATTGGAGAAGTGGAATGCTATTTTGGTCATAAAACCAGGGTTGCACAGAAGGATGAAGAACAGGGATAACTTTAATGTAGAGAAAGGATAATATAGTATTCCTTTAATTTGAAAATTTTTCACATAAAATTTGAATATGTTGTCACATCATTAATTCTCTAATTTACATTTTTTTTTACAACAATTGAATTAAATAATTTATTAAATAATTTATAATAATTCATATTTTTATATTTCAAAATTCTCGCATAAAATCTAAATATTTTATCATATTGTTGATTCTCTTGTCCACATGATTTCGTGGACTTCTCTGGTCAGCCTGTTCTCATCCATTTGCCCTCCTTGAAAGTTACGTATGCAGTCTACCGCGTTTTCATACGGTATGGACAAATTTAAAAGGTTTTTCTTCACGGCAAAATAAAATTTATCTTTTAAAATGTTATTGTAATAATTGTTATTCTTTGAAGAATAAAATATAATAATTTATCTTCTAAAATTTATAATTATAATTTATAATCATTTATTAAAATTAATATATTCACTTAATTTATTATAACACTTTTTAAATATGTTCGTCTTCTACCTTTCTCCTCGTGCAACCGATCATCACTGTATGAATAGACTGCGTAAACGAAAGTCCAAAAGGGTAAAAAATTATTGTAACCAGGCTTGTTGCGGGCCTAGTACAACTACTGTCACTTTCTTGGTTGAAAACTGTAATTAAATATTAAAGACATTAACAATAGTGTAATGATTATTAACATAATTATTTTAAGATAAAGAAAATATAAAAGTGAATTCGAATCCGGATCCACGTGATCCGCTCTGATTTCGACCAGCTGGCAACCTCATCCGTGCGATAATGCAATAACATCCCTGTTCCAAGGATTTCATCACCATCAGACTTCTTCTTGCAAACTTTTCACATACAATACACGCGCGCAGAGGGGGAGAGAGAGAGAGAGAGAGAGATCATAGACATGGACATGGAGAAGTTGGAGGCTAAGTATACAGGCATAGGGGGCTGTCTTCGAGTACCCTCTGTTCAGGATCTGGCCAGGGGGCCTATGGCCACGATTCCACCGCGATATCTTAGGCCTGGTCAGGACTCTCCGATCATATCAGACACTTCTTCCTTTCCCATCCTCCCAGTGATCGACTTGCGGAACTTACTCTCTGCAGATTTAATGAATTCAGAGCTTGATAAGCTCCATTCTGCCTGCAAGGAGTGGGGTTTCTTCCAGGTATCTATATACACATGTACTTAAAAAAGAATACCAAAAATCTCTTAAATTGTTGTTTTTTTAAGTCTACGAACCTTTCTTGGCTAATAACGCTTCCTGGTTCATTAATCCGACAAGATAGTGCTTGATAAATTTGAGATTTGAGGCTGAATTTTCTGTTTTCAGTGTGGAAACCGGAAAGGGAGAAAGAAAGATTTCTTCTCCTTCTTCCATTTTTTTTAATTTAAAAATTAATTGGGTACTGGGGAATTAGCCACTTGGGTTAACCCATTTGGTTTAGAATTGATTCTAATGCAAAGCAAAACATGCAAATTGCAGTTGATCAATCATGGAGTTAGTTCTGAATTGTTGGAGGAAGTCAAACGTGGGATCGACGAGCTCTTTAAACTACCATTTGAAGAGAAACAGAGGCTGTGGCAAGAGCCAGGCGACATGCAGGGCTTTGGACAGCACTTTGTTGTGTCAGAAGACCAGAAGCTTGATTGGGCTGACATCTTTTGCTTGGTTTCGCTTCCATCTCCTTTGAGAAATCCCAATTTGTTCTCTAAGCTCCCTATTACATTCAGGTCAGTGCACATCCTTCTCCTTCATTCTCCAAAATATTTATAGATGTACACTCAGCCCTCTGCTTTTGAATAGAATCCTATTTTGGTTCCATTGCTTCAATAGTACAGCCGGGCCCATGCGGTTCAGTCCAAGTTGCAATGGTATCCTTATGTCCATTAATATTTGGGATGTCACCATCAAATTAAGAAGGGTTCAGAAGCAAAGTGAAGCTAATTTTAAAGTGCACCGTGCAAAAAATAATATTTATTTTAACTATAGGTATAAAGTGTAGAGGAATCAATTGAAATTGGTTTAAAGTGCAGAAGTTCAATTGTAATTTGAATCAATGCATAGATATAATCCTATATATCAGGGATACCGTGCTAGCATACTTAGCAGAGGTGAGAAGCATTGTGAAGGTGTTACTAGGCCATATGGCCAAAGCATTAAAGATGACAGAAGAGGAAATGAAGGAGTTGTTTGAAGGGGGAATGCAAACACTGAGGGCAAACTACTACCCTCCATGCCCACAGCCAGAGCTTGTTATTGGCCTGACCCCTCACTCCGATGCGGCCCTGCTGACCGTCCTCCTCCAACTCAGAGATGTGCAAGGCCTACAGATTAGGAAGGATGGAATCTGGATTCCTGTCAGGCCTCTTCCTGATGCTTTTATAGTTAATGCCGGAGATAGCTTGGAGGTAATTCATGCTCAAATTTCTCAAGTTATCAAAACTAATTTCTAATATGAGCAGTTAATTTTGAGGCAAACTGCAATGTAATGTACTCCTCCCGTACACCAACTGCAGGGATATCACAATGAAATAAAAAGTTCAAGGGCAAAAGGTCAAAACTAATTATAAAGTTTAGGGGGTAAAATGAAAATAGTTCTAAAGTAGAATAGCAGCATCTTGAATTTGCAACTTAAACAAAGTGCGGGATTTTTAACTGTTACAGTTAAAAAGGTACTAGAGTGTAATTTACCCTTAATTTTGTCTGACTCACAATCTCAACAGGAAAGGTCCTATTCATTGTGACCTTGCTTGTTTGAATGTTTGGTGGCTGTGGCAGATTGCGACCAACGGAATCTACAAGAGCATTCAGCACCGAGCAGTGGTGAACTCAGAGAGGGAGAGGGTGTCCATTGCAGTATTTCATTCCCCAAACATGGGTGGAGAGTTAGGTCCAGCACACAGCCTCATCACTCCCCAGACTCCTGCACAGTTCAAGAGGGTGAGAGTGGAGGAGTATTACAAAAGATTCATGGGTAGCAAACTTGATCAGAAATCAAACCTTGACGCAATGAGGATTCAGAGCAGTTGCAAGGATGGTGAAGACATTTGAACCGAAAGGGGGTGCAACAAGTGGGCAATCAACTACAATACATTAATTCAGGTCAACCTGGTCCCTTGCAAATAGAATCAACATTATGCTGAATAAACAAAGCACTTTGTTTCTTAGCAGAAGAGCTGTTGTCGGGTAGCCTTCAATCAATCGCAGATAAACCAATATTGGATATTTTGGTATGAGATTATCGATTAGAAATTAAGGGATTGTTAAAATGGTATTAATAACCCAAGAAGGAACACAAACGAAATATGGATTGGAGAATCAAAATAATGGAGAAGTTTATAGACTTCATCTGGTTGAGCCCAATATAACCCAATTTGCATATTGGACAATTTAGAATGCGGTTTTGGTCATAAAACCAGGGTTATACAGAAGGATGAAGAACAGGGATGACTTCAACGTAGAGAAAGGATGAAGACCCTTTATTAAATATCTGAAATCTCCCAAATCATAATGGCAGATATCAAGAAGATACAAGAAACTTCCCTTAAAATAAAAAATGAAAAGTAAAATTAAAAATAAAGGAAGAAGAAAAAATTAGAACCTTAATCTAGGGAGAAAGAAGTGTTACTCGCATTGGGGGTAAGGTACCCAAGAAATCTACCAGATATCTAAATAATATAAGCTTTATCTCAAGCAGTAGGCAAGCCTTAGGCTTAGGCCTCTAATTCACTTTATTGGTGCAAATGCAAACCAGCAAAACCATGTCGTTATTTATAACTGAACCGGTAGAGTATTGGCTGGCGGGTCGTCAGTCTAGCCGGTGTAATAATATTTGATATATTTTAGGCGGTGCACGGTTGCAATTCACTGCTTCACTTTCAAGCTTGGGACATCGGTCTGAGCCCTGTTGCTCGCTTGAGGTTTTGTATTTTGCTAATCTTTTGAAGTTTTTTTTGGCCTAGTCAATTTGACGTTATCTTTAAGCGTCGTGTCTTAACCTTTTGCATGAACGTGGAGTCTACACCTTCACAAGAAAATGTAGAAGAGATCCTTTTACAAGAGAGTAGACTCCACGTGTTGACAAAAAATTGTAGGGGAGATTGAATGTGCATCTAGTCATTACCTCCCTACTCACGTGAGCAAGCAAGAGAGAGGTTAAAAGGAAAATGATTATTCATCCATCTCTATCTATCAAATCAAACAAACAAACTGACACATAAATAAATACATATAGACATGTGAAAAGAAAAGGGACGTAAGATCAAATAAGATACGTAAATATTAGGAGAATTCTACGGTGCTCACCTCTCTCACAAGGGTGGGCTCCACTGCCAGGCTCCCTGCATTGTGAAGGGGCCCCACTGCTGGGGCCCCACTGCCGAGTCCCCCCTCACATACCAGTGCCCCTTGGGCACCGGAGTGTTCTCCTAAATATTATGGTTCAGATAGACTTGTAACTCCAACCATAAGCTATATATAAATGACAACCACACACCTCATCTATGACGATTCTATCCAGCAGTTCACGCATTTATTTTTTAGTGGAAACTATCAAAACAACCCTTAAAAGATCACACAGTCACCAAAATGGTCCATCAATATTATTAGCCATCAAAACCTTCTAAAATTAACCCATTCGTTTATCACATTAGTTATGCCATCAACTTATTATCTCAAATGATAACAGAAAGCAAATGTGGAGACACATGGACTAAAAAACACACGTGGACGTTGACATGTACACTCACCCAAGGCTATGTCTCTCCCTTCTACCTTTGCAGCCCACCAGACCAAAACTCATTCCTTCGCAGACCTAATTTCTGTATCCTTCCTCTCTGACTTCTTCTCGCTCATCTGCCCCTTCATTCCTTCAAACTCGCCGACTAGCCACAAACATCGCTCTCCCGCCCCCTGCAAACTGTTGGATAGTTTGTGAAAACATTTGTGAAGAAAGGAGTCCCACGTTGGGAAAAAAGAAACAAATCATTGCCCTTTTTATATATTAAGGAACAACTCCCGTGATTAAAATAGTTTTTAAGTGAAAATTAAAAAGTGTATGTACTAATTATTTAATGTATAAATATAAATTTATATTTAAATATAAAAACTTAGCACTTAGCACGAGCATGTATGTTCGATTAAATAAAGATTCAATGGTGCTAATTATTTTTTGTTTTTTTTTTAAATTTGGTAATTAATGATTTTTGATAAATAATGACAGTTTTGATTAGTAATATATACTTGCCGCGTGTACAAGTCAGAGAACATGAATGCTGACATAAATTTTGACATCGAATCAACATGCAAGTCCTCTAATTGAAAATAAACCCCTGATTTATCATAAATGTTTTCCCGTTATCCGTTATGCCGTTTGCCCCTAATCTGAAATCATCCGGCCAAAGCTTAGCCTTCCCCTCTGCGTTCTGAAATCGAGGCCTAGCCTTCCCCTCCCTTGAGCACTAGCGTTCTTCTTCTATACTGATCGACATTGTCCCTCTGGAATCATTCAGCCGAATCCTAACCTTCCCCTGGCAGCCTATTTTTCCTTCCTTATCGACCGCGGCTCACCGGTGTCTTCGTCCCCACGATAATTGGCCATTCTACTCTGCAATCGCTGCTCTGAAAGTGAAGCTTAGAAACAATACAATTTTATTCTTTTTTTTTTGTCAGGGATTTTGGAGCGCGGGTCGAGTTTGGAGGTTATACAATAGACAGTTGGTAAAAGTTGTTACCACATGAATATTATTGCGTATAAGTGCATCCAACCAAGGTGTTAATAATTTCGCTTATTTGGTTGTCTACGAGTTGTTCGAGATTGGCATCCATTTTATCCTGAACTATGTTAGCTTATCTAGTTTTTATATTTACAGCAGAGGTGTCACTGATGAAATGCTTAATTGGATGATTTTAATCCCTAATTATCTGTTGTTCTGGATAATTTGTATGTTCATCCAATAGATATTTAGTTGATAATAGTCATTTCGCTCGTGAATGCCAATTTGAGATGACATGAAGTGAAGTAATCCTAGAGGGCAGCAATTAATTTTGTAGAAGCATTTTGTCTGTTTTTCTGAAACCAAGTAAAAATACTTGTTCTTTTGAATATAACCAACGTAACATTTGATCTGAGGCAATGCCTGCTGGGAGATAAAATTTTTCATTATCTTATTTGAAAAGAATTCTATTTTTAGTAATATTAAATCAGACAATTTTTAGCTTTTCTTTCGAAATATATTGAATGAATCCTGATAGAAGAACTGGATGCACGACTGACCTTTTTGCATTTATATCCAATATTTTTTTTTTCTCCAGACTGTACTGATATTTCATTTATTTGGTGGCATGGGTAATTTATTCTTGCACCATGCTATGTTCCCTTTTATGTTTCCTTCTTGTTCTTTTCTTCTTTCATACCTTCACTTTCTTGTGGTACATCTTGCTTTTTGGTAGTGTGTAAGACTCCATCTTATGCTGTAAAAGAATTGAGAGGTCCTTATAGTTACTAGAAGCAGCAATTAAATGATTATGCCTGATCAGTCTGGATATTTGTGTCTTGGATCTTCTTAAGTGAAGTTGAAATTATCTTAATTTTCTCTCACTTCAAATAATTAGCCCATAGAAAGAATTTTGTAGGATAGTTTGCACTATACCATTTTTTCCATCCTTCTATTTCTATATTCTTCTAAAGAAAAGGGTGAACCAAACTATCTAGTTATACCTATTTGGTTAAAGGGTATCTGGTTATCCCACAAATTGAGATTGCCCTTAGCATGTGTTGATATATGTATCAAATTTAGACTGTCCTTAGCATGTGTTAATATATGGGCATAGAACTTAATTAGTTCAATAAAAGATTATATATCCAGGCATTTGCTGGCTGCTTAGTTTCAAGTTTGAGGGAGTCCTCTTGCACTGTCTGTTAGAAAGTTCAGCAAATTAGTGAGCCATCTTTTAAGATCAATTAGAACAAGAATTTCTATGTTACAAAAAGTAGTACCAGAATGCAAGCAATGTTATAACATGGATCCTTCATAGCAGATTCTGCCTGGAATTTTTATTTATTTGTATGGCTACCTTTTTGTAGTGATATTTATAATGTATAGTCTAGGCTTCAATACTAAACATTTAGTTATACTTTATATCTTTTGACATGGTCTTCAGGTAGAGATGACTTCTGGTAACCAATCAACCTTTGTGGGGAAGCTGAGAAGGTGCTAGGATTTAGCTCAATTGCTTCCAATTCCTCAATATGTCACCCTGACAATGAAGGTTTGAATCTTCCATAATCCTTCTAATTTGTGAATTAATGAAACAATAAAAAAAACAGATAGTCCAATATAATTTCTTGTATGCCCCATCTCAGTGTTATATGATGGGTTTATCCCAGAGATCTAGGGTGGGGTTAGACACTACAATCATTTCCTTAGTTACTAGGTTACAGGGCAATAAGCTCCATTAGGTGTCTCTCTGATTTTGTTTTAGTTTTTTATTTGAGTTAATATAACCACAGCCGGTGCTAGTTAGCTCAGCCAGAACTGCTGCTTTCATATGTGCTTTAGCTCTGAGCTCCGGAGATTTGTTCAATAACTTTTTTATGAAACCCAAATAAATTTATTTATCCTTTGGAGTATTCTAACTTGTTAATTTTAAATAATTTCTAGGTCATTGATTAAAAGTCTAGAGAAGGTTGATCCCGTGAAGATGAAACTTGTACAGAAGCTTGCTTTTTGGATCAACATTCACAATGATTTGGTGACGCATGTATGGCTCTTGGAAAATTGGATGTTCCTTTACCTTCAAAGAAAGCCTCAAATCTGAGACTGAATTGTGACGTGAACTTTAGAACAACAGGAGAAAATCAAGCAACCTGAGCTACAAAAGAAGTATGTAGGCCTAAATAGGCTTAGCTTGAGGTCAACCTTTATCTAACTTTGGCTAAGCTGGAATACAATTCCAAACTTGATTGTAGCATGAAACTTTCGGGCCTGGAAAATTAGTGTTTAGAAAATTAAGAATAAGAATAAGAAGAAGATATATGACGTGGTATCATT